GAAACGTCCGATATACAGTGATATATAAATGAACTTTCAACTCTTTAATACCCAGAATTCCATGTCACAAGTGATCACCTACGACATCCATAAGCTTCACAAAGGTACCACAACACACTTTCTCAAGTATTTCAAAGCTGCTGAGAAAGACAAAAATGCGATCATCTTTTTAGAAGGTGGGTTAGAGCTTCCCTTCTATGACACTGATGGGGAATATCTATTCCGACAGGAGAGTAACTTCCATTATCTCTTTGGTGTGAAAGAAGCCGGCTTTTTAGGTTTAATAAAGATGGACGGTACTCGTGTCTTATTTTTGCCACAACTTCCAGCTGCCCTTCAAATCGTTTTAGGTCCAAATTTGACACCTGAAGCCGTTAAAGAGATGTACGGCGTCGAGGAAGTCTACTTTGACACTCAAGTCGAAGAAGTGTTAGCCAAGATCAACCCGTCCCTTATTTATATCTATGCCGACGGTGTTAACACAGACTCCGGATTAAAGCCCGCACCACTCCGAACCAAATGTGTGAACAACTATAAGCTTGAGACTCAGACGTTGCATGAAGCACTCTTCGAGGCGCGTACCGTCAAGACTCTCGAAGAGATCAACTTGATGCGAACTGCTATTAATGGCACTGCGGAGGCTCACCGACAATGCATGAAATTCTGTGCACCGGGGAAATACGAGTTTGAGATGGAAGCGCAATTCTATAAGGTCGCGTACGGCACTTTTGGCATGAGGAACTTCGGGTACTTCCCAATATGCGCGTCGGGGACATCAGCCGCGACGCTGCATTATGGCCACGCCGGACATCCCAACAGAAAAGTGATGCAAAGTGGGGAGTTGTTGATGATGGATGTCGGGACCGAGTGTTTCCGATATGCGACCGATTTAACACTGACGTATCCGGTGAATGGGAAGTTCACTGAAGACCAAAAAGTGTTATATGAAATTGTTTTAAAGTGTCAAGAGGAGTGTGAGAATGCTATTAAGCCTGGTCTTCATTGGTATGAAATTCATGATTTGGCCAATAAGGTGTTACTCAGTGGACTTAAAGAAGCCGGATATGTCACAGGTGATGTCGACGAGATGTTTAAGAATGACGTCCACTTCTATTTCATGCCTCATGGGATCGGACATTTGATTGGTGTCGATACACACGACGTCGGCGGGTTCAACAAAGGTATTGAAAGAAGCAGCAATTGCAGTCTTAAGAAGTGCCGAAGTAACAGAATCTTAGAAGCGGGGAATATATATACAGTAGAGCCTGGGGTTTACTTCATCCCATTTTTATTGGAGTCGGGATTGAAAGATGAGAAGGTCAAGAAGTTCCTTGTTGAAGAGAAAATCAGAAAAGCCTGGAACTTTGGAGGAATCAGAATTGAAGATGACGTCTTGGTGACTGAAAATGGACATGAGACTTTACCTAAAGACATCCCACGTACTGTCAAAGAGATCGAAGAGTTCATGAAACACTAATTCATCGCTTCAGTTTCTATTTAACACAATTTCTATCATCAAATTCAAAAATGCAAAATTGTTCGGGTCGAATGACTGATTTCGGTCTTTTTTGTGAACGATTTCAAGAGTTTGATTTTTGAGTATAAAACAGAGGTGGGAACACATAACAATCAATTCTCGTAGTCTCTCGACACTTCAACGGAAGATGTGCGTCGGTGTGGTTTACGCTTTTTTATTGGGACGCTAAAGGTGTCCGGCAGTTTTTGTTGGTTTGCCTTTTCGTCATTTTTAGTTAAAATTGAGTTCTCTCGTGTACTCACCTTTTGTTCAAGTACATTCTTCGCGTCTTTTTTCTCATTGGAAGGTTGAAAGGACTCGTCGTAAGATTTTTGAATAGTCGAAAGTGTCGATGTTGGCTTTTGCTTTGAATTGGCGATGGGACTTTTTTGTATCATTTCGACACTGAGAAGGTCACTTGAACTCTCTGAAGTGTCCGAGAGCGACGACTTCACTTCTTGACTTTGTCGTGGAGTTCTGAAAGCGACATTTGACGGCGTTGAGGACCGAAGACGTGGGGAAATATTTATGTTGGAAGACAAAGAAAGTTGGTCGAGTTGAGACTGAAGACGTGAAGTTGTTTGTTTGATCATTTCAATGCTTTTCTTTTGAAGGTCTAAAGTCCGCTGCAGTTCAACACTTTTATGAATGACAGCAGTGTAGATATCTTCATTTGTTTGAAAGCCAATACACTCAGTGTAATCCTCAATCGATTTGTATGACGTTAGATAGGTCAGTAACTGTTTGTCCATATTAGCCATCCAAGGTTGATTGCCTACAAGTTTTGGATTCATTTTTTCGTTATTTGTTTCCTTTTAAAGTTTTTTGAGTTGGCCATTTTGTGTCAAAGATACTTTTTAGTACAAATTATTTACAATCCAATTTACTGTAGTAACTTTATGGGACTTTAAAAAGGATATGGGCGTTTCAAAATAAAGTTACACGATGCTTCTATTTAGTGTAAATCGCTTCATATTTTTTTGTGGTCTTCTTTTACTTATTATGGTAGTTTTTCAGTTCTTTGGTATTAATTCTATTACTTGATAAAATAGAATACCAGCATATCGGATATGTTGGTATCTTACTCTCTATTCAATTAATTTAATTAACGTCCGTTTTAAAAATAAACAAATTGTAAATTAACGACACAAAATTTATACTAATATTCGTTAATAATTGTTATAATTACTTAAAAATTAATATAAATTTTATTTGTTAAATATCATCAAAAAATAGAAAAACAACTCGTTAAATTATAACAAATACTTTTAGTTCAATAATAGTTTTTCAACTAGTACCCCACATTTTTTTGTATGGAGAAAATTTCGATTTTTTATTTTTTTTTCGATTTGAAATTTTGTTTTTCAAATCCGACAAAAATGTTATTTTCTTTCTTGTGGAGTAAGAATGTATAGTAGAGTTATAGTTTCACCAATTCTAAAAGGAATTATAAAACCCTGGACTTGAAAAAGTAGTCCAGCCAGATGCCAAGAGGTCTCCATGCTGCACGTAAATTGTCTGCACAACGCCGAGCGAACCGCTGGGCCGATAAGGAGTGGAAGAAGGGGAAATTAGTCACTCGTTATAAATGCAACCCTCTTGGAGGTGCGTCCCATGCCAAAGGACTTGTCCAAGAGAAGCTTGGGATTGAAACAAAACAACCAAACTCGGGTATTAGAAAGTGTGTCAGAGTTCGTTTATTGAAGAATGGGAAGAAAATCACTGCTTTTGTCCCCAAGGATGGTTCTTTGAACTACATCAACGAAAACGATGAAGTCCTTATCTCTGGGTTCGGTAGAAGAGGTCACGCCGTCGGTGATATTCCGGGCGTCAGATTCAAAGTCGTCTGTGTTGCTGGTGTCTCCCTTCATGGTCTCTGGACAAACAAGAAACAAAAACCACACGCCTAAGTAACTCCTTATGTTATTTCTTTGAGAAAACAGACTACAGGCCTTCAACCCTAGTAGTCTGTTTTCTGTCAGTTGGTTTGATATTATATCTTTTATTAAATAGTAATTATTACTATATATTATTATATCTGACTGTTTATTATTATACATTACTCTTTAATAGTATATAATAATATTTAATAATAATGAATAGTATTTAATTACTATTTAATAATATATAATAAAGTAATTAATTAAATCAATCCTTGCCGCTTTAACATGTCATAATCTTTCTTTAAGATCAAGTTGCCATCGGGATCCTCATATTCTGCTTCATTCATCACATCGAACCGTCCCATCTTTTTCATTTCATCGAGTTTGGCTTTAAGAGAGATGGCATCTTTGATCCGACAGATGTCGAAGTACTCGATAGAACTCTCGATACCTAAACACTTCAAGCCACGGATGTGCTTGGCCTCTTCGAAATGCTTCTCATAATTCTTGCGCCCTTTATAGCCACACCCCCCACAGATCTCACAGTAGTACATTGTCCCTAAGCCACGGAATTTGTATAACCAGACGGGTATAGGCTTACCATCTTCACCTATCGGATAGTTGTCGATCCCACGCTGCTGCTCTTCTGGAGCTTCGACGTCCTCTTTCTTGATCTCGACTTCATCTTGAAGAAACTCGATGTTGCCGCGCTCGATCTCGATCACATCCGTCGCGGTGCGCCCCATCTTCGTCGAGATGTTCTCTTTGGTATCTTTTAAAGTAGTTTGGATGTCCTCGCGAAGACAAATAGTGTGGATGACAGACATCAAAAGTTCAATTTCCGCAGTTAAAGCACTCTTTGAAGTCACATTCTTGAGATGCGGCGCAGACTTTTTGTGATAGCCAAAGACACTTGCCTTCGCAAACTTCTTCCCGCAATAGACACAGTACTCATATTTGTCTTCTAAAGCACTCTTTAATGAATAATCGGCGCTATGCTCGTGTGCACTCGTTTCGATGTCACTGACGTGTTTGTCGAACTCTTCGAGGGGCTTTGAGCGGGTTAAGAACGACACCAAATACGTTTTAATCTGCTTTAAATAGTCCAAGTAGTGTTCTAAAGGTGAAAGGTATCGAATTGTGATGTTCACTTCATTGTCAAAGTCATAGAAGAAGTCGAGGAAGTCAGTGTACTTGATCGACTGAACATCAAAATCACTGTGTTCTGGGAAGGGGATGTTATTTAATGTTTGAAAGATCGCAAAGAAGTCGAGGAACTTCCCGTTCGTCTCTTCTCCAGAGAACAAGCCCAAATAGCGCTCACTATTTTCGACTTCTGGAATTTGGAAAGTGGAGACAAAGGTCACGTCTTTATTAACATAAGAACTTTTTAGAGCAGAAATTGTGTTGTGAAAGTCGGTGAATAATTTGAGGGGGTCCGATGAGTCAGACTCTACAGTAAGCTTTTTGAGGTCGTTAGATAACTCGTTGGACTGATCGCTGTACAAGGAAATCAATCGATGGGTTTTGTCGTTAATCGCCCTGTTCAGAGACATGATGATGTGGTCATTTTGAATCTTCTCTTCTTGAAGAGTGGGAACGGTTTTAAGACGACGAACAATTTCATCGTCGTACATTTCAATGGTTTCATGAAGTTGACGAAGTTCCTCTAATACTACTGACATAGAAGTTTGAAGTTCTTATCATTTGTTTTATTCTTGAATCATTTTTTACTATATTTTATTTAGTAAAATGCTTATATTAATTGTTAATAAAAGTTAATTATATAATACTACATTTTTATTATAGTATTTTATTAATTTATTAATAATTAAATTGATTTTTATTACAGTTAGTTTCATTTTGTTTTAACTTTGTTTCAAAACAAATAGAAAACGTTTCAAAATAAATCAAAAATGCATATTTTTTCAACTCTGTTTTAAAACAAAATAATTTTGTTTCAAAATAAATATAATTGTACCAAATGAAATCAAAAGTGTTTCAAAATAATACAATGTTTCAAATTAATACAAAAATGTAGCAAAATAAAATAAATTTGTTTCATAAAGCTGTAATTTTGTTTCAAAATAATATTAAAAACAAATTTATTAACATTTTCCATTAGAGGTCTTCTCGATTAATCACTTTTGTCGATACTTGACCAAGAAAATGACTAACACATCTTCTTAACTCACTTTTTTCGATATCTTCAAAGCATCTGGCCATATTCGTTAACATTTGAAGTAAGTTTTCGTTTGGTAATTTACCAACTCGACTTTTCCAAATACCGAAAATCATTTCTATTGGATTGCATTCTGGGGAATAGGGTGCATTAAACAACACCTTACACCCTCTAGCGTTTGCTGCAGATATAATATCCTCTCTATGTACAGAAGCATTGTCCATTACAAAAACTATGTTTCCAAGTAAAGCAACATAATTTTCAACAAGAAGTTTAAAGGATGCACTAAACATTTCACCATTGACTGTTTCGTTAAATACTCGACAAAATTTGTCACCTGATCCAGATATCGAGCTGACGCAACTCAAGTTAAACGTTTTCAATTTTGTCGTTCTGAAGTGTTTTTTTTCTACGTGAACCCCATTTTCTTGTTCAGACATTACCAACCTTCCAATGAGACTCATCAACAAAGACAATAGCATAGCCACTTCTTTGAAGTTGTAACAACTCTGCTAATTTTTGTACTCGAAGCTCTTTGTTGTCAATTGTATTTGCTATATTTCCTCGAATTGGTACTTCTGTAAAAGACAATGGGTCAAGTTCGATACCTTTCATTAGTTCGTCGTTTTCTATATAGCGCATTAGCGATGATATTGACACTGTATTGAACTCTTCTTCTGCCAACTTCTTTTTGGCTTCTCTAAGTGACATGTTTTCTTGACAAAGCATAACAGCAGTCCTTTTAAGAAGTGCGTTGGTGTACTTTGGTTTTCTACCACGTTTCACTTCTGAAGATATATCAATTTCTTGTCTTAATTTGTTGAGATAGACACGAGTTGATGGTATGGTCATTCGAGTTTTGTGGCTGTACCATACCAAAGACATTCCTTCTCCATTTTCTTCGTAAAGATGAGTCAAAAGAATTCGTTGGTTTTTCGTAACCAACACGTATGGTCTTTTTGAGTTTTGATTTTTAATTAAATCATTAAAAATGTGATGCCCCTCTGTTATGTGTGTCATTTGGCGTGTTAGTGAATTCGTTTTCATTTCTTCTTCAGTGGGTTTTTCTTTAAGTTCTGGTATTTCTGGAGGTTTTGTTAAAGGCCCAATGAACTGCTGTTTTTGGGATACAAAATCGTCAATTTCTTCCATTGGTATATATCCAAAATAATCCATTTTGTTTTTTCAAGTTAGCTAAGTTGTTTAAGTATTGTTTTTAATATTATTTTGAAACAAAATTACAGCTTTATGAAACAAATTTATTTTATTTTGCTACATTTTTGTATTAATTTGAAACATTGTATTATTTTGAAACACTTTTGATTTCATTTGGTACAATTATATTTATTTTGAAACAAAATTATTTTGTTTTAAAACAGAGTTGAAAAAATATGCATTTTTGATTTATTTTGAAACGTTTTCTATTTGTTTTGAAACAAAGTTAAAACAAAATGAAACTAACTGTAATAATTATTAAAATAATATTATAATATTATAATTTAATCTATTAAATACATTGTTTAATTTTACTATAAATATAGTACAATTGTTTGAATCAATAATTAATTTTTTTTTAATAAATGTCAAGTATTAATATATTGTTATTTTTTAAATTAAAAAAATAATTATATCGGTATTCTTAATAATTACTAATAATTAATAAAAGTTAATAAAATACTTTTATTTTAAATTACTATAAACAGTATATTCCGATATAATATTTTTGGGACAATTAATAAAATGTATTTGAAAAAGTATTGAAGTGTTTAAATTAAACACATTATTCTCATCTAATTTCTTATGTATCGACTTATGAACACTTTTAAAGACAAAAGGAAGAATAAAAAACCAATACAATTATTCAAATAATTACGAACTAAAAAAATAAAACTACGAAACTAATTAATAAAAAATATTATAATATTTAGTTTTTCTATTCAACAAAAGAGTAACTTGAAAAAAATTGATTTGTTTGTTTTGTATCGACCAATTTCCCGTATGTTACCGTGGTACTACTTTATTTGTTAACAAATTTATTGACATAAGCCAAGAAATATCTACAAAAAAAATATATCGTTTTTTACATATTTATTTTCATAAATGCTGTGTTAAAAACGAAACGAACTGTAAGAACTCAAAAGACAATGAGCGTCGACTTTACTGCTCTTGATGAAAACGTTGAACCAAGCAAGCTTCCTGAGAGTTGGAAAATTCTTCTCCGAGAGGCTGGAGTGAAAAAAAGGGACTTACAAAACCCCGATACCCGAAAGAAGGTGTATCAATACATGAGACAATCTGTCTATGTTAAACAAGCACAAGCGCAATTAGATCAAAGTAATGTGACTTCACATGATATGAGAAGGATGTCTGTATCTGTCAAACAGCGATATAAAGTAGTTGAAAGTAAAGGACGACCCTCGCAATCGATTTCAACGTCGAGTTCATTTTCTTCGACCCTCAAAAATTTGGACGAAGACTATGCAGGCCAAACACAAGAAATGCAACAAGAGAGGTTTAAGAGTGTCCAACCCAAACAAAGGGCTGAACACAAACAATCGACGTTTTTACAAAAGCAACAAAGAGTCGCAAAATTGACTGGAAATACTATACCACAACAACAAAGCACAAGTAGTACTTCCCCACATACCCAACAACAACAAAAAGTTTGTGAAGAGAAGAAAGAAGTGAAACAAGAAACTCATAAACAAACAACTCCAACCGCACAAGCTAAAATTAATATCTATAAACCTTCACAATCAAAATTACACACATCTACGTCTAATAATATGTTCGCTAAGAAATCATCACCAACAAGTACTACTACCACTACAACCCAACAAAAAACTATTAAATCACCACCTCCACCATCTTCTACTACAATTACTACAACCGGAGAAGACCAAAAACAACAAAAAAGTTTGAGTAAATCAACTTCTGTTGCTCAAAAAAGCACAAGTGACAGTATCGGCACTCTGAATACAACACAACACAAAAGTCCACCCCCTTCAGTACTCTCGCAAAGCGCTAAAACTACAACTTCATCACAAACGTACCACCAGAAGGCACATAGTACCCAATCCCCTTCTTCACCAAATACATTTAAAACGTCGGGGTCAGTAAAGGCGTGGGAAGAAAAACAAAAGACACAACAAGCTGCGCCGCAACTCACTCGAACGTCACAGAGTAAATCATACGAAAAACCAAAATTCCAAAAACAGAACACAACGCCACTTTACACACAAAAGACTCAAACAACACAAGTCTCAAAGTCTGAAGTCAAAAGTCCAAGTCCAAAAGTTGAAGAGAAAAAAGTCGATGAAGTCAAAGAGACACCATTCGAGCCCAAAAAGTCACCGGAACCACAAAAATGTGAGGAAAGTCTTATTAACAAATCTGAAGGAAGAAAAGATATTCAAATTGAAGAGACAAAAAAAGAAGAAAAGAGTCAGGAAATACCAAAACCATCATCGAAACCAACTCCACCAATGAGAACACCATCACCTAAGACTTCTTCTCCAACTTCTTCATCTCCAAAAGCAACGAAATCATCTCCTCCAGTTCAACAAAAACTATCGGCTTCACTTCGTTCAGCTGGAACGTCTGCGTCGAGTGCAACTAAACAATCGACGACATCAAGTAATGAAGACGTTGATCTGAGTAAAATGACGTTTGTCCAACGACAAAGGTATTTAGCGCAAAAACGCGATAAAGAGTCGAAACAGACTGAATTTGGGAAAACAAAAGTCTCAGAGAGTTCAGTGCCGAATTATCATATTAAAGAACCTTCAAAAGATTTATCAAAAGATTCAAAAGATTTCAAAAGTTTTTCAAAAAATTCCACCGAAGACCAAAAAGAAGAGACTGAAGGTGTTGATGTGGAAGCTATGAGCTACGTTCAAAAGGAAAGATATTTGCGAGAGAAATGGGATAAGAAAGCGGAGAAAACAACCGCTAAATCACTGGGAACGTCGAACTCGAAATTCCACATTACAGCTACTACTACTGAAGAACCTAAGGACATTGTATACCAAAACCAGAAGGTGGAAGAACCCTCGACAGTGGGAGATAGTTGTATGAAGCCGAGTTCAATGAGTAAGTCAACTACGTCTTCTGAAAATCCAACAAAAAGAAAAGCTTTAGCAAAGCCCGTTTCTAAGGCGGGGACTATGACGGGCTCTTCTTCATTAAATGCATACATCCAACGACAAAAGGAGTTTGAAGAACAAGAAAAGGAGCGTGAGCACATTCGTTTGGAGATGCAACGGAAGCGTGAAGAAGTTCAGAGGAGACAAGAGGAAGTACGGCAACGTCTTGAAGCAGCGGAGCTTGAACAGAAGTCGAAAGAAGAGTATATAGCGCAAGAAGAAGCCAATTTAAAGAAACAAGAACTCGAGCGCGTTAAATTAGAAGAACAACGAAAGAAAGAATTTGAAGAGGAAGAGAAGAAACGACAAGTTGAGAAACAGCGAATTGAAGAACAAAATCGATTGAAAAAAATGGAAGAAGAAAAGAAGAGAAAACAAGAGGAACTTGAAAAGAAGAAACAAGAGGAGATCGAAAGAAAGGCCGCTGAGGAACAAAAGAGGAAAGAAGAGGAGGAACTTAAAAAGAAGGAACAAGAAGAACTCGTTAAGAAACAAGAACTTGAAAAGAAGAGGAGATTGCTTGAAGAGGAACGAAAGAAGAAAGAGGTGGAACGACAGAAAAGGGAATTGGAGATTCAAAAGAAGAAAGATGAGGAGGAACGAATGGCGCGAATAGAAGAAGAGAAATTGCAACGAGAAATTGAAGAGAAGAAGAAAGCGGAGGCGATTGAACGCGCGAAGATCGAAGCGGAGAAGAAGAGGAGACTTGAGGCGGAGAAACAGAAACGGATAGAGGCTGAAAATAAACGGAAGGCTGACGAGGAGAGGCAGCGTGCGGCACTCGAAGAAGCGAGAAAGAGAGAGGAGGAGATTGCGAAGCGGAACGAGCAAGAACGTATAGCGAAGGAAGCAGAGGAACAAAGGCGATTAGAAGAAGAGCAGAAACGCTTAGAGGAAGAAGCGAAGAAGTTAGAAGAAGAGCAGAAGAGGCGAGAGGAGCAAACGCGAATTGAGAAAGAGAAGCGAGAAGCTGAAGAGAAGAAGCGTCTTGAAGAAGTGAGACGTCAGAAAGAGCGGGAAGAGAAAGAACGAAAAGCTTTAGAAGAGAAACAGCGTATAGAGTTAGAAGCGAAGAAGCGTCGAGAATTAGAAGAATTAAAGAAATTGAAGGAACAAGAACGACTCAAAAAAGAAGCGGAGTTAAAAAAGATTGAAGAGGAGGAACGAAAGAGAAAGGAGATTGAAGAGAAGATTTTGAAGGAGAAACAAGAGGAGGAACGGCGAGCGGAAGAGAAAAGAAAGAGAGAACTTGAAAATCAAGAACGGGAAGAACAAGAGAGATTGAGGAAAGAGGCGGAACGAAAGAAGAACGAGATTGAATTGGCGAAACGAAAGAAAGAGGAGGAGATTGCGCGAAAGAAACTTGAAGCTGAGCAGCAACGAATAGCCGAGGAGAAAAGGAAGATGGAAGTTGAGAAACAACGACAAGAAGAATTACAACGAAAACAACAAGAAGAAGCCGAACGTAAAGCGGAGTTGGAGCGCATTGAACGCGAAGAAGAAGAGAAAGCGCGGAAAGAGCTTGAGTTGGTTGAAAAGAAACGCGTTGAGGAGGAAGAGAAGGCGCGGAAAGAACTTGAAGCGAAGAAGAAGAAGGCGGAGGAGGAACGGAAGAAAGTTCTGGAAGAGGAGCGACGGAAAGAGGAGGAAGAGCTTGAACAGAAACGGAAGGAACTTGAAAATGAAGAGAAGAAGTTACGAGAAGAGGAAGAATCTCGGAAACGAGCGATTGAGGAACGAAAGAGAGTTGAGATTGAGAAGAAGCGAAAAGAGGAGAACGAGCGACAAGTGAAATTAGAAGAAGAGAAAAGGCGGAAAGAGAAAGAAGAAAAGGAGAAGAAAGAAGAAGAAGAGAAAGCGAAACGGGAAGCGGAAGAGCGCGATAAGATGTTTCTTGCGGAGAAGAAGAAATGGGAAGAAGAACAACAAGCGAGGATGGCGGAGTTTGAGGCGATGAAAGCCGAAGTCGAGAAGATGAGGATGGAGAAACAACGACTCAAAGATGAAGAAGCACGTCTGAAACAAGAGGCAGAGTCATTGAAACGAGAAAAGGAACAAGTCATGGCGTCGAAGAATAATGCTCTTCAAACGCCACTGGAACCACCACAAGGATTATTACCACCACCACCTGGAATGGCACCACCAATCGTCGAATCAACATCACCAATACCTCAAGTGGCTTGTGGAGGATTATCGTTGGCGGAAATGATCGCGGCAAAACAAGGGAATTTGAAGGCAGTAGAAGTCACGGAAAAGGTCCAACAAGAAGATGAAGTCGTGTTGGCACTGAGAAGTATTCTGACAGCGAGAAGAGTGGATACTAATGGAGCAGAAGACGAAGATGAAAGTGACGAGGAAGAGGACGACTGGAGTGAGTAATGTAATACATCAAAGTCATTCAAAGTTTTTTATTGTTTAATTTACTATATAACAGTTTTGGTTTGAAATGGTTTTATTTTAATAAAATGTATTATTAAAAATGTTAATTTTATGTATTATAATTATTAGTAGTAATTCTTACTAAGAAATTCTTACTAAAAATAATTCATTCCATATTTATTCGTAAATTTTTTTATATTAATAGATTCTTAATAACAAGCAGAGTATAGTTATTTATTAATAAAAATAAAAATATGTAATAAATAAAAAAATTTATTTGGAAAAAAAAAACTTAAGTTATAGTAATAATTAGTTTATTAATAAAATCATAATAAGTAAGGCCTCTGCGAGAGTCGAACCCACGACCTTTTCCTTACTAGGGAAACGCACTGCCAACTATGCTAAGAGGCCTTGTGATTATAACAATTACTTAAGATGTCAATTTTGAAATCCTTGGGGTAATTGTTCAAACATTTTTTAGAATTGACATTGACACAAAAAAATAATTAATAATTATTATTAATACAATAATAAAAGAGAATTTGTTTTATAACTTGTTAACATAAACACTAATTCATCTTATAAAGGAAAAACTATTTGCAATAGTAAAACAATTAGACATAAATGAAACAAAGAAATAACTTCAGAATTAGGCAGCAGTCGGTGGTGGGTTTTGTGCTGTAGCAGTCGAAGGCTCCTCCTCAGCCGGTAGATCAGAGTGAATATCACCGTCAACGTCTCCCGTTTCCGGCTCTGGTGTAGCTTTGAAGTATTGGTCGTATTCATTAATCAAGTCCTGGATGTTCAAGTCGGCTTCTGTGAATTCTGCGGCGTCCATACCCTCCTCAGTGTATTGATGCATGAAAGCCTTTCTCCTGAGCATTGCGTTGAATTGTCCCTTCACTCTTTGGAACAGCCCAGTCATAGCGGTGGAGTTTCCAATGAACGTTCCCGACAAATTTAGTCCCTTTGGTGGTACATCGCACACTGCGAGTTGCATATTATTTGGAATCCATGGGACAAACATATCTGGGCTCTTTGATCTCAAGTTAAACAATTGTTGTTCGACGTCATGAGTTGATACCTTCCCCCTCATAAACACCGAGGTGGTCAAGTACTTCCCATTGGATGGGTCGACGTCCACCATCATGTTTTTCCTCTCAAAGAGTTGTTGGACAATTTCCTGTACATTCAACGTCTCGTATTGAATAGCCAAAGCGCTTGAAAGTGGTGCAATCGATGATGAGAAGAAGTGGAGTCTTGGGAATGGGACCATATTAACCATCAGCTTCTTCAAGTCTTGATTGAGTTGTCCTGGGAATCTCAGTGAACAAGTAATTCCCGACATGACTGAAGAAATTAACGTGTTCAATGACTCGTTCGATGGCTTCGGCACCTTCATAATGTTCGATGTGATTTTATACAACGCTTCATTATCGAAGCAGAACGTGATACCAGCTGTATCGAGTAATTTATGAACAGACAGTGTGCAGTTATATGGTTCGACAACAGTCTCACTAACTGTAGGTGACGGAACAACGGAAAACGTCGTGATGACTTTCCCATAATACTCATCTCGTAACTTCCCAAGTAATAAACTCCCAAGACCAGATCCAGTTCCTCCACCAAGAGAATGTGTCACTTGGAAGCCTTGAATGCAATCACAGCTTTCAACTTCTTTTCTAATGCGTTCAATAACAGGTTCCGCTAACTCAGCTCCCTCCGAATAATATCCTTTAGCCCAGTTATTACCAGCACCAGAGTGCCCACAAATGAACGAATCGGGTTTAAAGAAATGTCCCATTTTACCCGATTTGATAGCATCAAGCGTCCCAGGCTCTAAGTCAACATTAATTGAACGAGGGACGTAACGACGAGTTGAGGACTCACTGAAAAACACGTTGAGGCGCTGCTCTTGAAGCTTGGTTCCGCTAAATACACCGTCGGAAGACAGCCCATGCTCTTCGCCGATACTGTCCCAGAACTTCTCACCAACTTGGTTCCCGCATTGCCCGATTTGGAGACACACTATCTCTCGCATTTTGTCTGAAATTTCGAGTTCCTTTAGCTCTATTTAGCCTAACCCTTCATACAATCTCATAATTTCATCCAAAGTCTTTTGGGTGTTCGCATTTTTAGACTTTTTTCTTATTTTTTGTTATTTGTGAACTATTAAAGAACTATATTTTATGTTTTTTATGAAGAACAATCTGATTGACTTTCTTGTGGAAAGAGAAAAAATGAGAGAAGAGCAAAACCTCAAAAATAGCCTGACTTTTTTATTTGTAGTTTTGGCATTTTTGCGTATTGGGAAAACTTTTGTGGTTTTTTTTTTATTTAATTAAAATACCACAAATTTATTAATGTTAATTACTATTTAATTAAATATTATTAATTTATTCAATTATTTGATAATAGTGGTAAAAATTGGAAGAAAAAATAATAAGAAAAAACGTCAAAGTGTGAAAAATAAAAATTACAAGTTCTTTTTTTATTTAAATAATAAAATTTTTATTATTTAATATATTTTATAAGATTATTTATTTTAATTAATAATAATAATTAATAATTAATTAATAATATATAATTAATATTAATAATTATATTAATAATAAAATTAATATATAAACTTATAATTAACATTTATAATTAAAAAATAGTTGTTTAGAAAATAATCGAAATAACTCATCGACTCACTTTCTTATTTCAGTTTCATTTGAAAAGGCATCTTTGTCAATATGATCCACTGATTCGGGCAATTGTACTCGTTTGAGAGATTTGCAATTGAAAAAAGCAAAAGCTTCGATATTTTTGATTTTATTATTAAATAGCACTTCTTTTAAAGATGTACAATTTGAAAACGCGTTTTTTCCAATTGAAGTGATATTTTCAGGTAAAACCACACTTTCAAGTGCACTCATCCCAGCACATGCACATCTCCCAATATGTTCTATTGTCTCAGGAATTTCTATTGTTTTCAAAGACCCGCAGTTAGTGAACAAAGAACCAAAGACAGTGCATTTCTCTCCATCGTGTTGAGTTAAAGTTACATTACTTAATGAGTAACAATAGTCAAAGACACTATTTGAGTTGATAAGAGACTCTGTAATGATCACACTTTTTAAGTTAGTGCATCTTGCGAATGCCATTCTCCCAAGTGATTTTATCGTATTAGGAATTACTACCGCAGTCATTGCTACATTACCATAGAAACACTTTTCACCAATAGTATGAAGGCTTTTGGGAAATATAACATTTTTGAGTGAATAACATTTTTCAAAGGCACATTCTCTGATCTCACAGAGTCCTTCGACAAGTTTGATTTCCTTCAAAAAGTGACACGCACTAAAACACTGTTTTCCAAGTACAGAAACAGTTGATGGTATTGAGATGTACTCCAATTTGTTACACTCAGAAAAGTCTTCCAAACAATTGAACATGGGAAGAAACATTTTCATCTGTTCATATTCAATGGAATCCAAATACATATTAACACATTTTATACCACATCGTTTGAGTATTAAAAACTCTCTATAAGTGACATAACCACTCCACTGTTGACATCCATTAAACTCAATTGAAGTTAACTTATTGCAATTTTTGAATGCATTTTTTCCAAAGAAAGTTAGTATCGAGGGTATAGTAATACGCTCTAAATTATGACAATCCGAGAAACATAAATCTCCAATTTCTTTCACTGAATTGGAAAGAATTAGTTCTTTCAATTTTGTTGAATCACTGAAAAAACTGTTTCCAAGAGAAGTCACACAATTTGGCACGGCAAACTGAGTCAAATTATTTGAATTAAATACTCTACTTCTAAAGGACCCACACCACCCAACGGGATACTCAAAATCAGTTGGTGTTGGAGCGTCTATGTTAAATGAGAACATCTCATAATCAACTTTAATGTTTTTGCACGTGTACCCACAACTTTCAAATGCCCCAATACTATCAAAAGACACTTCAAAAGAAACATTTCCGTTTGTATGTGGCACCTCTAGTTGAGTGAGGGAAACACATTGATGAAGTGCGCCACTTCCAATGTGTACATTTTCATTGAAACAAAGAGACTCAAGTGAACTGCATTTATTAAAACAATCCTTTCCAATATACTCAACACCTTTGAGTGTCCCAACTTCCTTTAAATTTGCACAGTAATAGAAAGCAGACTCTCCAATATACGAAACACTCGAACACATCTCTACACTTGTCAAGTAGTGACTAAATGAAAATGCACTTTCTTCAATATTTAACACAGAAGGAGAGAGTACAATTGATTTGACATATCCATTGCTCATAAATAGATTTTTTGGTATCATTGAGAGTGAAGGTGTGACTATATATTTTTTGTCGTTTTGAGTGATGTCTCCATTTTGAATTAATTTATCTACATCAACAATAAGACACTGCTTTGGGAAATTCAGTTGTTTCAAAAGATTTTGAGAGCTGAACGCCTTTTTAAAGAACAATAAATTCGACGGAATGTTAATTTTGTCTAAATTGCACTGATCGAAAGCGCGAAACTCAATTTCAACTAAATTGTCAGGTAAAGTCACCGTGCGGAGGTTTGGGCAGTTGTAACACACACAATACGGAATTACTTTCATGTTCTTTGGAAAGGAAATCTGCTGCAAATTGTTGTTTGTTGAGAAGAGGCAACTTCCTATTACTTTGACACTTTCTGGAAATGTAAACGAATTCAATCCACAGATTTGGAATGCGCCCATACTCAGTTTAGTGAGTGTGTTTGGTAGTGTAATTGATTTCAAATTTTGACATTCAGAAAACGCAAAGTTGGGAAGAGCAGTCAGACCTCTTCCTATTGTAACATATTGTAATCGATTTGCCATACTGAAACATTGGCAACCTATTTGGGTGATGTTGTCTGGAATATTCAACGAAGTAAAATAAGACATTTGAAAGCAGCGTTCTGGAAGTGTATTTGCAACTGATAATAAGTGTGTTATATCACCACATGAAAAGTCTTCTATTTTTAAATTAATATTGTGGAATACAACTTTTGTATGATTCAGAGTTGCCATTATTGTTATTTTAATTGAATCCGAAATGGAAATTTGATAGTGATATTCTATTCTTGGAATAGAAGGAAAGACGGCATCTTTTCGAGTATACAAGTGGAGAGTTTCAATAAAAGGAAACAACTTTAAACTAGAAATTGATATTGGATTATATCGAAATCTATCAGTGAGGTATTGGAATTTTTTGTTGACTTGAATAACATTGATATAGTCTTCAACTAAAAGGAAGTACTTTGCAACAATTTGAAGTGAGTAAATATCCATTTGGGACTTCATTTTCTGTATTATAAAGTGTTTTTTTTGGTTTATTCCAAATTATTATAATAATCATTTGGATGTTTGAGGTATAAAAATGATTAATTTTTTGAAACTCATTAATAATTAATTAATTAATTAATTGGACACAATAAAAACAAGTTTTTTCGTCGATACTTACGAACTTTTATTTAAATAATATTTATAAGTTACTACAGTCAAAGGTGTCTATTTGTCGTAAATGAGAAATTGTGTAGAAAATTCTAAAGGGTTTTAATAATTTATTGGTTTATAATTAAGAAAACAATTATTATTTACAATAGTAAATAAATTTATTATGAATTAAATAATATAAAATAAATTAGTAAGAATTAAAAAATACATAATGAGTTTCAAAAAGTTGAAATGTTCATAACGAAAAAGCTACAAAAGCATCACACCCGAAGCACACACATTAATAAAGGAATTAAAGGGGCAGAAAAAAACCGATGTTGGAAAAAAAGCTATGTTGCTAAAATAATAGTAATTTAATAACACTTTTATAGTTTATTGTATAGTTTATTTTTCCACTTTTCCGCGATTTGATTTCAAAAAACAAGGTTAACATAACTTAATTTCTTTTTTTCGAAATGTAAAAAATCATTTTTGAGATTATGCATTTTTTTTCTTGTAAAGATAAGGTTGAATTTGCAGAAAGACAAAAGGGAAGCATAAAATAACGATGTCTAAACTGTTCTTTGAAGCAAGAAAAATATAAAAATTGGCTAAAAAACAATAAAATAATTTTAAAAGTTGATTAATGTTTTCAATATTATTTTTCCTTTTTAGCATAAATACAAAAACTTTTAATCAAAACCCCGTCAGTGTACCTTTTTTTCACACCCCTTAACTTTAACTTTTAATTTTTTTACATGCTATTTATCGTTCATAAAACACAAACTCCACTATCTAATCAATTACATATCAAACAACTTAATAAACGTATCAATATTCACGCTCTTTCAATGTAACAACTTTTCATTTCTTCGATCAAAGACCGACTGCACCTTTATTTCACACCCCCTCTTGATCGATTCCTCATTCGATCAGAAATGCAGTCCACGGCCAAACTTGAAAAACGTTCTTTCAAAAGCTACACCACACAAAGTTGAGTGCATCCATTCCCAGCCCTTTTTTGAGTCCCTGTCAAACAAATGAAATACAGAGCTCCTTTTTATAATCAATTAATTTTTTGAAACTTTTTTCAAAAATCGAAGCAAAATCAAAAAACTGGAGAAAAAAAACAAAATAAAACGATTTTTTAATTAGAAACATCGAACATCGGTAATATTCCGTTTCATGTGTCCATTTGTTTTTTCCCTGTTTTTTAAATTTTTTGAACAAAACCTCAACTTTTTGTGGCAAATATCATTTATGGTCAAAGTTTAATGGTTGTTTATAAAGAACTTGGTCAAACATCGGTTTTTGGTGCCGTTCATGGGAAAAATAAAAAGACGGGGAAAATAGAGTGGGTTATCCGAAATGGAGGCAACCAAATCTTGGTGGTTAATAAAACAATAAAAATCGTGTTTTTTCATGTTAAGTTAGTAAAATACTATTTGTATGCCGTGAAAAAACTCAATTATTTTTTGTATTTTTTAATGGCATTTTATTATTTTTGTTCAGAATTTAGTGTTGATTGATTTGAGTTTGGTAATAAAAAGGTCAACATCGGTTTTAAGAAATGTTGTTGAATTTTTTAAATTTCAACTCGGCAAAACGCAAATAATGTCCAATTTTAAGCAAAA